GCTCCTGCTCCGCCAGGCGGGCGCGGCGTCGGCGCCTCCCCAGGCGGTCTGCCCGTAAACTAAATATAGTGTCGAAGTTTGTATTGATGGCTTCTGGAGACCGAGAGAGTTGACTCTCGGGGCTGGGGCTCCGCGGCGGCCCCTAGCAGCTTCAGCTCACAGGTCCGGGAGAGGGCGGGAAAGGGGGGCGTAGGCTGTGGGCCCGCGCGGACGGCCCCACAAAGGGCGAGCGCCTCACGCCCTCTCCTTCCCTTTCTCCGCCCGCCCCTCCCGGCCGCCGGCCTCACTCCGTCCGCGGCTGCATCACCGGCAGCGTCAGCGGCATGTGCAGCCCTTGTATTAAGTGACTCATTTGTTTGTCCCCCTTCTCTCCCTTTATTCCGTTCGTCTCTCACAGGCGCCTCCCCCGACCCCGGTGTGACACTGCAGTTTGGTCCCCGTGGCTGGCCCGGGTTTGGGACCTGGCAGCTCCCGGTTGTCTGGGGTCGGGAGAGATCGAGGCTCTCGGCGCCCAGGTGTTGCCAACCCACAGTGTTTACTGATATCGCTGGAACAGCCTCTTCCCTTTAGGTGGGGAACTGGCAGTTTGGGGGAGGTGGAACGGCGTGGCGCTGAGCCGTGGAGTTCTGGCTTTTTTTTTTTTTTTTTTTTAACCCCTCTCCCCAGAGGATGCCTTGCCTGGTGAGGTCAAAGTACAAGATGGTGCCAGTTACTGAGATTTTGCCGAAATGGTCCTGGGGTAGTCGCGGGAGTTTGGAAGTGGGGGTAAGGTGGCTGGAAGGTTTCAAGGTCTCTCATCTGCTCCCTCTCCTTTTCCCATGAAATGCCCTTGTTTAACGGGCTGTGGTGCCGGACTCCGGGATCACTCCCACAGCCTGGAAGGGAGCCGTTGCCTCCAGCTGCAGTGCATCAAGGGAGCTCGGAATAGACCCTGCCCTCTGTCAGCTGCACCAGTGGCTGTCCATGGGGGGAGAAGCAGAAGCCTACCAGAATTTCCTGTCTTGGCTCCCCAGATCAGAATCAAGGGACTTCTGGCCTTTGGACTGAGGAAGTGACATTCTGTTTTTCAAAGGAAGTGTTGTTGTTGCGGAGTGCAAGTGTGTGTGTCAATGAAATCAGGCTCTTACGTAGATGTTTGCTAGGAAAAAAAAAAAATTCTGATTTAGCACATGACTTTTGAAAGTGGACGTGGATTTATAGGAGGGATGAAGCAGTGAATTGTTCATCTCAGTTTGAAAGCTCATTTTTAGGAGTGTCTATGTAGCCAAAGTATAATTATTAAGAAATAAACTTTTTTCCTCTTCAGGCTTGTATCAGTTCGTTAGGAAGGTTGAATACTTTAATTAGGATTAAGGAGCAGTGATTTACTATTAACAATTTAATAAATATTTTTAAAACTTTGTCCCAAAGAGCTTCCAAAAATTATCTTTGCAAATAGATTTCCATACAAGCTAGTGGAATAGAGTGTCCACAGTAAAAAAAAGAAAAAGTGACCCTTAGTTTTCAAATTTGAACACTACACTAAACCTTGAAACTTGTTTTTGAAACAATTTGCAAACAGTATGACATTGTATCTCCATTTGACTTACCGCTCCTTGAACGCTCACCCAGACTCTCTTTATGACCCATTTCTTGGGTGTTTTTGTTCCCAAACAACTTTAGTTCAAAAAAACCAGGTTTGGAGGCATTTGGGTCAAGCACCTTTTTCACTCATTTGAACGAATCTAGAATCGTGTGATGGCCTTAGCCTCTCTTTCCCATCTTCCATGCACCTTCAGCCCATCAGGTGTCAGACCTTAACAGCTTTCAGTAACAGCTTTTCTTAGGCCAGGATGTGATGTGTTCACTTACATGACTGGAAGCCTCTGCCCTTTCGGAAGTCCAGTTTCCCCCCAGTTGAAACTGCTGATCTGTGTAACCTTAAGCTTCTGGGGAACAGTATTCTTTTACGTCTACTGTTTTTGGGGGTATTAAGAATTTTTGCATCCTGTTGTAAGTTAAAACTCTGCTAGTTTGCTTATTTCAGTAGAGGCCCGAGTTCATCAGAACCAAACTTGGAAAGTATTTCCCAGCCTAATGGCTGTATATTTACCCCAAAGTAGCTGCTGCTTCTGGTATACATCATAGTCATGTTATATTGTGGACTGAGAAATCCTCATTATAAGAATGCCTCAAGCATATGAGATAAGGGGAAAAAGTAGTTGATGAACTAGGTTATAACTATTTAAAACTCTTTTTTTAAGAACAGATTTAATTCGAAGGCTGGGCGCAGTGGTTTATGCCTGTAATCCCAGCACTTTGGGAGGCTGAGGCCGGCAGATCACTGGAGGGCGGAAATTCGAGACCAGCCTGGCCAAAACCCCGTTTCTACCATAAATACAAAAATTAGCTGGGCGTTGTGGAGGGCACCTGTAGTCCCAGTTACTCAGGAGGCTGAGACATGAGAATTGCGTGAGCCTGGGAGGCTGAGGTTGCAGCGAGCCGAGATTGCACCACTGCACTCCAGCCTGGGTGAGAGAACGAGACTCCATTTCAAAGAAAAACAAAAAACTTATTTAATTCAGAAAGACACGGAGGTGCAGAGGGGGGAAACATCTTAGAAGAAGCAAAGGCAAATGTTTGAGCAATTAGTTTTCAGGGATTTTTTCATCAGCCTTTTCTAGTTAGTATAAAAGATCTATCTGCTATTTGCTGAGTGCTTTGGAGAAATTACAAAAAATGACTTTGGAAAATGCTGACTATTGCCCCTGGGGCATCCTGATACGGTTGCAGTGGGAGGTTGGCAGGAGTAACAACCCTCCCATCGTGCCTCAGTGTATTTGTGTGTGTATGCGTGTGCATGCAAATGCATATACACGTACATGTATATAAATCTTAAACAGAATTTTCTTGAGGAAAAACATTTTATTAATATGACCTACACTGCATTGTAGTTTTCTATCAATTTCACTGGGTTAAAAGATTTAGGGAATAAAATTGGCAGACTGCCCCCTAGTGGCTAACTTGAAAGTTGTGCACAAATTTTAATGAACAACTGCATTAAGGTAACAGTAATTGTTTATTTCCATTGTATTTATTAAATATACTTATTAAATCTAGGTCCTAGGTACTTCATCAGGTGCTTGGAATAAAAATTCAGTAAATAAAAAGAAAGAGCATTAATCCAGCCTTTCAGTCTTAGCAATGGCTTTGCCTTCTCCTTCACAAAGAAAATTGAAACGATGAGGGAGTAGTTATCTGTACGTACCATGAATGGCCACACTTTCAAATTTACCTATATCTGCCTAGTTCCTTTCTTTCTTGTTTCTTTCTTTTTTTTTTTTTTTTTTTTGACAGAGTTTCGCTCTTGTTGCCTAGGCTGGAGTGCAACGGCACAATCTGGGCTCACTGCAACCTCTGCCTCGTGGGTTTAAGCGGTTCTCCTGCCTCAGCCTCCCAAGTAGCTGGGATTATAGGCATGCGCCACCACGCCTGGCTAATTTTGTATTTTTAGTAGAGATGAGGCTTGACCACGTTGGTCAGGCTAGTCTTGAACTCCTGACCTCCGGTGATCCGCCCACCTCAGCCTCCTGAAGTGCTGGGATTACAGACATGAGCCACCATGCCCAGCCTGCGTAGTTCCTTTGTGGTTTCCTTAGAGTGGATGAAGTGCGTCTTCTATCTGAGCTAATCTTGCTACTTATACTTTGAATCATATCTTCTCCTCCCTACTCAAATAATTCTTATCCTGTAACACATCTTCAATTTCTTTCCCTCTCTGTACTCTCTCCTTTTCTTCAGGATAAACTTGGTGGTGGTTTATGCAGTCTTCCTTTCTCCCACCTTCTTCTCAGTCTGCTGCAGTGGAAACCTACTTTGTTATTTACCAGAGCTATTCTCACAAAGGCAGCTGCGATACCCAGGTCACTAAATTCAGAGGATGATTTTTTACTCCTCATTTTAATTAATCTCTTCACTGCTTGGTCATAGTTGACCACTCTTTTTTAAAACACCTTCCTCTTGTCTTGGCTGACACTATAAATGCCTGTTTTTTCTCCTTTTCTGGCTACTCTGTATCTCCTTTGCTAGACTGACCCCTTTATCCAGTCCTTAAAGGTTGAAGCTCCTGGCAAGGTGTGCTGAGAGGCTGAGGCGGGCAGATCAC